ATGACGCGGCGGCCCCGGCCGGTGCTGAGGCGGTTGCCATGGCGACGCCGGAAAGCAGCCGAGCGCCCTCCCGCCAAGGGCATCCTCCGCCTCCTCCTTCGCCGCCGCCGCCGCCGCCGGGGGTAAGAAAAAGGGGGAGGCGGCGCCTTTCCGGCCGCCCCTCCGTTGCAAAGCCCGTCGCGGGCTGAGACTTTTCAGTCCTGGCGGGGGCGGAGGGGGGGAAACACGGGATCTCATCGACGTTTCCGCCTCTAAAGCCCCCCACCCTCAGGGCCAACAACCCGCAAAGACCATTGTTGGAGATTTGTTTGTTTATTTGATTTTTTGTTCTGCACTACCCAGAACCCGACACACCCCTATAAAACAAATGGGGTGGGTGGGTTTCACTGATCCAGATCCTGAATCAATACAATAAAAAAAGAAAGTACAAGAAGGAAAGAAAAATTAAAAATTAATATTAACACCATCCAGGGAGAAGTCATTAAAGTTATCTCTCACTGCACCAAAAACAGTAAGGAGCCGAGTGGGAGCTGAACGCCTGGCCAAGCTCCGGACTTTGGAAAAATGTTCCCAATGACACAAAGCTTGACAAAGTCAATTTAAGGAGGGGTTTTGTCATTTTTTTAGCAATTCATAAAACAGAAATACAGTACTTACCCTGGTTCCCTGAAAATAAGACCTAACCTGAAAATATGCTCTAATATGATTTTTCAGGATGCTCATAAGACCTACCCCAAAAATAAACCCCAGCTAAGTGAAACCCCACCCTCCACCCTTGTGCAGCAACCAAAGATGGCATGGCTGTATTTGAATAAATGTGGATGGTTGTACATGAAAGAACGAAAGCATCCCCTGAAAATAAGCCCTTAATGCATTTGTTAGAGCAGAAATCAATATAAGTCCCTGACTTATTTTCCGGGAAACAAGGTAGCTCTGGGGTGTCTCAGAACAGATCCATTCAGGAGAACACAAGCCCTAGAGTAGAGGCTTCTTTGAGAATACATACATAAAGGAGACGGGGGATTTCTTAGGCGAGTAGCTGGTCTCCTTCAGTGAAGTACAAAAGCTGCCACTTGCATTTAACAAAGACAATGGTCACCATGACAGACCTTTCCTTATGTTCAGGAAATGTTAAAAATAGACCTATTCAAAGCTGCCTTTATTTATTTATTTATTGCATTTATACCCTGCCTATCTAGTTGAACGACCCCTCTAGGTTGCAACATATAGAACAACAATAACTACGGGGGAGGGCTGCCTCTTGTTTTTCCTGGGTGGGTGGAACTGACCCCCCCTTCTCCTCTTTCTAGCTGTGGAAAATGGCAGAGAATTCGAGTGACAGAGATTCTTCCTCTTGCCGCTGGAGGGTCATCAACCACGAGGTAGTGCTCTGCCATCCACCCACCCCCACCCCTTTGACAATTCAGTATTCTGAATACTGTTAATATTTACTTTTTCTTTTCTTTCTTTTAAAAATGTCATACTGTTATATATAGTGTCATGTAGGGTTTTGGGGATTTGTAAATTTTAACTCGTAAACCACCCAGAGCAGTGCTTGCACTAATGGGGTAGTATATAAATTACAGACAGACAGACATAAAACATGGTCAGTCTAGACTGCTCCCACTCAAAAGACACGCTGCTCTCAGTGGTCTGTCTTTTGAACAGGGACACGTGGCATCCACTGCCTTTGGAAGTGCCCTTCCTCACTTTCTGAAACATCTATAAAACTAGAATTATGTCTCTCCTTTGACCGACTGCCTCTCAAGGCAGAGACAACCACCTGGCAGATGTACTTTCATGGACGTAGAGGCGCCTTCGAAATTCACTGCTCTATGATTTCATGAAATCTTCAATATACTTCTTTTACACAGGAACCGAAAATGACTTCTGAGGAGGAAACCCCACCAAGATCCACGGCAAAGGAATTCTCTTTCCAGTGGCTTCCGTGTGCAAGACCCGGGAATCCAGTGTTCTCTTGCATGCTAGATGCAAAGACTCTCACCACTAGCAATTTCTTAACTAAGCCTCAGCTTTTGCTGTACAAAACAACATCAAGTGAATATGGCAACATCCCACCTACCTCACAAATGGTACCCTGTAAGTTCTACCCAAGGAACAACTCCTTTACCAATCATCTGTTTGCTTGTGGGCTGACAGAATTTAACTCCATTAACACTGGTGTGGACAGAAGCAAAGTTTATGATCACCCAGATATTATGAATCTTCTATAAAATGTACAGCTATTATCTTGGCTGTCTATTAAACTATATTTGAAGTCTCAATTTGGTTTTTTCCTGTTTAATACTGATACACCTTATCTAAAATCTGATTTCAAAATGGTCTTAGAAGTAAAGACACGATAGTGAATCCTATGCTTGAGTATGCTAGTCAACAAAGCAGTCAGGTCTTCCATACAGTACAGTTCTAAAGCCTAATTTTTTCTCAGATGGCCAACTGTAGACTGGGATGATTGATTGTTTCTATACAGACGCAGCTTCACATCAAGGAGTAGATGCTTGACAGAAGGGCTTTAACCCAGTCTTCCTTGACATCCCACCATTTCAAACATGGGGTGTGTGTGTCTCTCAGCCTCCATTTTAGTACATTGGACCAGCCTCTAGTCTGAAATGGTGCTATTTGCTGAAACCCGAGGTTAACGAAATGGCTCACTTCAGGACCCCTAGAATCCAGAAATGGTCTTCTCACCACCTGAAGGTTGTGGGTGGGTTGTTGTTCTCCTCTTTCTAGAGCAATTAGCACAGCTGGTAATAAAATACAGTGTGTTGTATGCATCCACCTCAAAAGATGGCTTTTGCTTCTCCTACTGACAGTGAAGTATCCTGGATCACCAAGTCCTCCTTAAGCAGACCTGGTTTTTATGGGTGAAGATCGTATCCTTCAGGCCTACTTTACACCAGAGGTGGGCAACTTATGGCCCCTGCTGCCTACTCTCCCCCGCCCCTTTGTTTTAAAAGTATTTCATTGGGAAAACCAAACTCCTGGCAGTCTGGTCCTCCTCCTTTACCATCAAGGTGTCTTCCCCTCACCACCCCTCTGATTTGTGAAAATATGAATGTTATTATAACCCAGCATAATTAGAAGGGCTCTTGATGAGAGTAAGGAATGCAAAGGCCTTCCAGGGACGGACAAACTCCCCCTCCCATTAGTCCCCTGCAAGAGCAGCAGGCGAATCACACATGGAAGGCCCTGCACATTTCCCACCCAAGAAAGGTGCACCTCAGCCCATGCAGCCTCTCTGTCCTAGAATGGATACGAAGGCACAGTCTTGGACTCTATCCCCAGCTGCCAAGCATTCTACAGATTTATGGTTCAACCATATTTAGACCAAGGAAGGAAGAAGTGGGCCCTGGGAGGAACTGGCATAAACTGAACAGTTCTTATGAACCAAGTGGGAGGTCCACATTCTTCTTTACAGGTCAAGTATTGAACAAGCATCACTTATATTTTGCAATTCAGAATAGGACTGTATTTAGAACAAGGAACTGTTTCAACTTTCTGTAAAAGAGGCCTGACCTTTAACCAGTCATTTTCAATCGGGGATTTAAGAGCACCACCATGTCTTTAAAGGCTTTAAAGACTAGGGATTATTTTACTACCTTATGAGTATAACATATTCTTATAAAATACCCACTGCAACCCAACCTAAGTAAATACAAGGTTTCAAATTTTTAACAAATCCAATCTTAAGTTACAACGTTCACTACTTTGTTTACTGAGAAACAAAAATGTTTGCATAAACTAAAAAGCTTCAGATGTTATTCTCCTTATTAATACTATCTTTCAGTGAAGAAGAAATATTTATCCAATACAGCAAAGTACCTTGCAAAGATAACTATCCTTGTTACCAGCACTGGGGTGTTTCTGTTACCTTGCACAAAGAGCTGATCAAATATGCATTCTTCCCCCAGAATCAGTCATTTCCCTGAATTATGCGTCGAATTTTCTCAGCATCTTCTTCTATCTTCTTGTCTGTAGGGTCAATCTTGAGAGCAGCAATATAATCTTGAAGACCTAGGATTCATTAGCATGCTTCTTTTAATCTCACAACAGCAGTTACATTTTAGGAACATACTTTTGCAGTGCAATCCTCAGTATGGTGACGCTGAAACATGTCCTCCTCTGTCCAGTCGGGCTTATTTCCAAGGAACAGCCAGAAGCGGGACAGCAGCATAAGACACAAGGGGTCCTGGGACGGCTGCTGGGAAGGCCAGCGCATGGCCAGGCCGTGCACAGGGGAAGGCTCCTGGCCCTTCCTCACCTATAGGGTGGCAGCTCTTAACTCCCTTTCGCTTGAAGTTACTAGCTGGCCACAAGAACTGGAGCAGAGGCCCACAGACTGTCTCTTGGCAAATAAAGTAACTGAAGCAGGAAAATGAGACAATAAATGTTTGACAAAGATGTCGCCTAACATGCTACTTTCCAGTGGTGCAGGCAACATAATGTTTCGTTATTTGGTTTTAAGTGCTTGTTGGTGTGCTGCATTACAGAGTCTGCAGCCTGCGTAGCCGCCTTCTTTTAGAAAAAGGGGCAATTACATTTGTATTTCTGGGTAATATATTAGAACAAATCAAACAAGAGGTACAGAATAATAAAAGCTGCCTCTCCCAAAGCATCCAGTCCCCAAGTGAGGGCTGGGTGCCATCTTCACACGTTCCTCTTCCCTTACCTTCAGCGTACAATTCCAGTTCACAAAAGGCTGCCCCACGCCTCAGGTGAGCTTTCACTCTGGCTGTAGCGTTGTCAAGAACAGGAGGAGTCAATAAGTCCAGAGCCTTAGAATAAGAAAGCACAGAGGCTCATAAAGGCTAGTTTGGATTGACATTCAGCTGCACTTCGAGTCACCTGAAGGCGCCAGTGTTTGCCTGCATACTTCTCTCTGCTGTCATCTGCAGTCCCCCAGTTGCCATGGGCTCTTCTGCAGAGGCACACCAGGGCAAGAATGCCATAACCAGCCCTCAGAGAAAATGCTAGACTCAGGAAGTATACCTTAGTTTTTCAAAATAATTCTATGGTATTACAGCAACCCAGACAGCTTGAGTTGAGAGATAACTTCTTCCTAATTTAAATATGGGAGAACTGTCTTGGTGAAAAAGGAAAGGAATTCTGTTGGTCCATTAAGAGGGGGAAAACAAAAAAGCCCAGAATGTAGAGGGTCGGGACTCCAGGGGGGGGAACCGTCCTCTACCAAGGCCAACGTTTCCACAGTCTTCTCCAGCACGCTGCTCAGGAGCTTGTGTTTTGGTGCAATGTTAGTTGGCCCTCCTAAAGGCACTGCCTCCCTCGTAGACCCTTGTAGTGGCCCTTTTTGTCCTTTGGCCAGGCTGCCCTCTCCTCCCAAAGAGCAATCTGCCCAAAGCAGCTGCCTCCATCTTCCACTTTCTGGATGTATCAGAGGACTGCAGCAATGAAGAAGACCTCCATACTCAGGGTCACAGTGGGTTACAGCAACCCAAGGGGCCAAAGGGTTAAGGTTAGAGTTAGGGATCTAAACCCCATGGTAAAAAAAATCCAATACCTTAGATGAGTCCTCAATAGCTTTGTGCAGATTTCTCAGCCTAAGGTGGCATGCAGCTCGATTCAAGTACAATGTTGGGATTTGATTACTGATACGAATTGCTAAGTTGTAGGCATGGAGAGCAGCAAGGTAGTTTCCCATTTCAAAGAGTTTGCTAAAAAGAAAATTTAAAAATACCGTGTAAACAGGCCCAGCTATTAGATTTTCAGTAAGATTTTAAGAGCCTGAAAGTCAGAACATACTTTAGAAACATAACACATTTGTTTAAATAATGCATTTTAGGGCTTTGCACAGGACTTGGTGATGACAGAAACATTACCACTGTAACCCTCAAGGAGTCCGAAGTCCAAGCAGAGTTGCCCACTTCTGCAGTCAAACAGTCTATTGGCACAAACCCCTTTCCCCTCAAGCAGCAAAGCCATTAAAATGAGGCTTGTGCATTGCTCTTTCTTAAATCTTCGAACTCACTTTCCCTTGTCTTTCAACCAGTCAGGGTTCTTCTCCTCTTCCTTTAAGTCCTCAATCTCAGCAGCATCTGCATTTATCATCCGGCGAGCTTCTGCTTGCTTACACAACCACTGCAAACAAAAGAGCAGAGTCACAGAGTCACTTCCCGCTTCAGAAGCGCAGGTTGATTTGTCCTGCTTAGTAAATACATGACAAGCAAACGCGGGAGCATCTGCCACTGAGAAGGGACCAAGAGCTGGACTGGCCTTGTTGAGGCCTCTGAATATGCAGCTGGATCCTCCCTACAGTTGCGGCCAAGCAGGTGCTCCACAGGAGCCCTAGGTCCCCTTCACCCGCCTGCAAACCAAATCCACACCTCACCCTGCCTGCACCATCGGATGGCTGGGAAAAGCCACCTTCCCTTCCAGCTGGTAGACTGGCTGCTGTCCCTCATGCTGGGAAGGATCTCTCTGGACAAGTGCCCAAACCCCAAGAGGATGATGGCTGCCACATGATTGCCAGCTCTTCTGCCTCCACCCCATCCCCACCCCCACCCCCTTATTTGTGGAAAGCTTTTCAAAATGTCTCTGTGTTTCCCTGATGGGAGCAAAGGACTGTCTGCAGCCTTCCAGGAGATTTTCCCCTCAGCCTGTTTTGGGCCCAAGGAGGAGCAGAGCCAAAATCCAGTGCTGAAAAGTCCTCCCCACTATGCTAACAGGTTGAGGGGGTGAGGACAGTTTAAAGTGTGGCAAAAAGTGTTCCTGTTAACCCCCCTTCCCTGCGCCAGGAGGCTCTTAAAATCAAAAGAACAATTTTTGAGCATCTGTCAGAGTGTGGCCCTCCAAATCCAGAAGGGCATCTGGTGCAGTCCCAGATCTCTGGAAGTGGTTCACCCCAGCCACGAAGCCTACCCCTCCCCAGCAGCCCCCATTCATGCCTGGAAGCCCTTCTTCAGACTTTCCCAGAGAAAGGAGCAGGGCCAGAGGCAAAGCCCACGGCTCCACGACTGCCGCTCCACAGGGTCTCCTGAACCAACCAAGCAGCCCATCTTCATACCTCCTCCTCTTCTGGGATCCTGGACTCTCTGAGGGCTGTAGGGAAGACACGTGGGGTGAAGTTTATCTCAATGCTGCCTCTGGGCCGAGGAGCAGGGACACCGTCTTCCTTTAACTTCTCCGAAAAAATATTTCCAGAACTTGTGGCTGCATTAAAGACAACACACAAGCCACTCTGTTGGTCAGTGCATGAATTTTTTCGTCAAAATAAATATTTATAGAAACAGGAGGAGAGGTTTTGGCACAGATCTCAGTAACTTTTCTTTTCTCTTGGTTTTAGTTGATAGTTTGGAGTCTGGTACCTACACAGGCTATTTAATAATAACAAGCAAAGCTGAAGCTTAATTTTAAAAGGTCTCTCTCTCTCTCTCACACACACACACACACACACACAGAGACCAAATCTGCATACCCCTCTCGAGTGATGCCTCCCAAAGAAGCCCCTCAGCTGGAAAAGAGGACATGCTGACATCCTGCTCCAACCCACAACTCAGCCGGTCCACTGACAGAAAAACCCTAAGCTTGGTCTTGGCAGTTTATGTGAAAAGCAGGGAGTCTGCCAGGCATGTGAGCACTCCAGAAAGGGAAAGGCTACTGGAGACTCCAGTAGTAACTACTGGCTACCGGGGGGGGGGATTTTTACCTCCTGTCACTGAGTTTGAGCTGGATGTTCTCCCGTCTGAAGGTCTCATTCCCCTGTTCTCTGGCTTGTTTTTCTTTAGCGTTTTCCTGTTTTCATGATGTGATTGGTCAATCCCTTGCTTCTTCTTTTGCTTCTCATTCTGTTCTTTCCATTTCTCAATCTCCTCTGTGGCTTTTTTCCGTTCCTGTTCTTTCTGTTCTTCTATTCTTTTTCTTTCTGCCTCTTCTAGCTATTTGAATCCCAGAAGCATTAAGCTTTGTTTTACAATTACTGTATGTCTGTGGCACTTAAGATTGCAAAGGTCTTTGAAGCCCACACCTTATTTCCAGCCCAGCAACTCTGCAAGATGAGATTCCCACTAGGCCTTTGTGCTACTACAATAAGACCACTTGGCGAACCCAGAGTAGAACTAAGTTTTACACCAAAGTGAGAGCCAGCAGATCCAAATGAACTCCACTAAGCAATTTCAGGGAAAGTAATAGAAACCAGATGTAGTCACATCAGTTTCATGCCCCATCTTCACACCACACATCACAGTGCAAGCACCACCATGATACTTAGAAGCACAGCAAGAGCAATGTTTGCACAGCACTGTTAACCTTTCTAAAAGGGCCAAGACTGCCTGTACAATCCCTGTGTGACAAAAAGAAATGAGAAAGGAGGAAAATTGCTGCTGCTGTGTTGAAGCTCTCTCTCTCTTGCCTGAGTATTTTCACTGCTTGGTTACAGTCCCATAGTTTGAAGCCTCGGAGCACAGAAAAGCATGGCCATCCCACAGAATGGTCCCAGCTGTCAGAGGGTGTTGGGCAAGGGAAGAGGCTAGGGGTCTGCAACATGGCTGAGGTTAAAAGGAAAAGGGAGGCGACGACAGGAAAAGGTTGGCATGGGGGAATGAGCAGTGGGAAAAGAGGCTTGTGTTCCTGCAGAAAAGAGGGGAGTGTGTGTCAGAGAGAGGGTGTGTCACAGGATGTGAAATTTAAAAAAAAAACCAAGTGGGAGACTGAATTGAACTAACAAGAGAAATAAGGACACTTAAATGAATTTCCAGTTTTCATGCATATTGCCAATTGCAACCAGTTCTCTGGGTGGCTTATAAACAAAAATTAAAGCCATAACATACAGAACTGCAACAAGAAAATAAAATGGTGGGAGCACAAGAAGATAGAACATGATCTTCCAGGGCACAGGTTTGTCGTGTTTTGGGATACAATAGAAAGGTGGGGCGGCTGGAGAGCAGATTTTCCTATAGGGAGGGGAGGGGAGCACTATGCAATATAACTAAAATTTGGGGAAGAAATACATTTGTTTCAGTTCCAGATGTTATTAAAGTTAAGGCTCACAGACAAAAGGCAGCATCTGAAGTCACGGTTTCCAGGAGGTGCCTCTAATGTTTCCTGTCAAAAAATGATTCAGATGTTCCCTTTTCCAAAGAAAAGGCGAGGCCGCTTACTTTCATCAAGGCATCCAGAGCAAACCTGCTCCGGTCCCGCTTCTGAGCAGCTTTGGCTTCTGCTTCTGCTTTTGCGTTTTCTTGGACTCTGCAGACAGCATCTTCTCGGATTCTCTGCATTGCCTCTTTGTCACCTGAAGAAAACCATCCCAGCAACAATGAAAGCCCAGACAGAGGGTGTGATGGAGCAATCGCAGCCCGAGAAAAGAGAGAGGCCGAGAGGCTCCTCGGGCAGGGCTGGCAGCGGCAGCTCCGGCAGTGCAAGGGGAGGGGGACTCCCTTCCTGAGCCAAGCGGGGCCCTTCCCTCTTTCTCCTGCAACCCCCTTCGGGAAGGCAGGCTGGGCCTCTCCTGCAAGAATGAACCCCAGGCATCCCACCTGAAAACTCACCATTTTCCATGACGAGGGATTCCCACAGGGCAGATTCTTTTTTATAGAGGGTGAAGAAGACGGAGCCATTCTCAATTTTCGCAGTACTGCGAACGTCGTCTATAGGTGCGTACAGGACAGCTTCGAACAGGAATGGAGGTGAGTTCACCTGCAGAGAACATTTGAAAAGTGAAATGCACGCGTGAATCCTCCTCAGCTACGAGGGACAAGGTCTTGTGGCCATTTCAGAGTCAGCCATTCATTCTCATGTCGTTTCCGCACTCCCCCCCCCCACAAAAAAAACCAATGGCCTTTCACTTCAGGCAAGGTTTCCCTCAGGGACTGGCTAACATGAGGGCGACTTTCAGATTGATTTGTTAGGCATTACTGCTCTGACTGGGCCTTCTCTCAGAGCGGTTTTTGTTCCTTTTTAACATTTGCATACTTGTTGTTTTAGCTTTAAATACTGTATTGTCTTTCAAGGATTTCAGCTGCCAGGGGTCCTTTTCAAGGAGAAAGGCGCCTTGGGGGGGAATCCGGAGGGAGGGAGGCAGCGGGACAGCGGGACGGACGGACGGACGGACACACACACATACACACACACAAACCCCCCCCCCGAACGCCCGCCCTGCCGGAGCTGCTCCCCTTACCTTGAGGTACCGCTCGGTGCAGAAGACGTCGGCGCGGCGGAGGCGGGCGGCCCGCACGGGCACGGCCAGGTAGACGGCCTCGGGCGTTTGCTCCCAGCGGTAGTCGCGCACCCAGACCGGCATCGCCACCGGAAAGCGCCCGAGGTTGCTGAAGGCCGGCCCGAAGGGACTTCAGATTGAGTTGTTAGGCATTACTGCTCTGACTGGGCCTTCTCTCAGAGCGGTTTTTGTTCCTTTTTAACATTTGCATACTTGTTGTTTTAGCTTTAAATACTGTATTGTCTTTCAAGGATTTCAGCTGCCAGGGGTCCTTTTCAAGGAGAAAGGCGCCTTGGGGGGGAATCCGGAGGGAGGGAGGCAGCGGGACAGCGGGACGGACGGACGGACGGACACACACACATACACACACACAAACACCCCCCCCGAACGCCCGCCCTGCCGGAGCTGCTCCCCTTACCTTGAGGTACCGCTCGGTGCAGAAGACGTCGGCGCGGCGGAGGCGGGCGGCCCGCACGGGCACGGCCAGGTAGACGGCCTCGGGCGTTTGCTCCCAGCGGTAGTCGCGCACCCAGACCGGCATCGCCACCGGAAAGCGCCCGAGGTTGCTGAAGGCCGGCCCGAAGGGACACGACGGTTGCTAAGGAACGGTTTCCAGGAAGCTCTCGACTTCCGGCGAGAGGCCGTTCCGGCGCATGCGCAGTACACTTTGCCGCCTCATCCCGTTGTATGCTGACGTCATTTTTCAGTCCGTTCGGGACTTTCCACAGCGCCCTCACCAAGCAGGAGGTCTCACTGCGTCTCCCTTTCGGTTCTGCCCAGTTGAGAGCAGCTGGGGATCATCTGGAACCCACTCCCCCCCCAAAACACACACACACACACACACACACACACACACACACACGTCCCTAAGACGGCCTTACTCCAGTTTCCCACAAAAACTGCACATTCTCTCCACAAAAGAACATAATTCAGTTCTCCTTTATTACCTTGACAAGACTTTATTATATTCATTTTGCAACTGCTTAATTTCTTTCCAACTTCAATTTTTAAAAAAAAGCAAACCGGGGTATTAAAATTTTTCTTATGAATGAAAATCTAGCTTTCATGCTCTCAGTTTTTTAAGATGAACACCTTGAATAGGTATTACTATCTTCAAAAAAACAGGATTTTTCAGATTAAAAAATACAATCAAATGGGCACTTTTTCACTTAAACATTAACACCCTCTTTTACGTCGGACATAAATTCCATGTATGTCAGAAAATGCTGCATTTAACCATTTGCTTCTAAGCACTCTGCCTGTCATGTCAGACTAGTGAGCCATCCATAAACATAAACATTTCCTATACTTCACAGAGTAGCTTAACACACACCATGATATGAAATCATCTGTATTACATAGTAATTTAATTTCTTACTAAGGGAATAATAATGGACAAAGTCTGACTGCTTGTTTCCAATTTGAATTACATACATAAACTTTGTCACACACCACCGTACTAATGTATGTGTTATTTCAGACATGCTCTGATTTATTTCTATTTACTTTCAGAGCTGTTCCAAAAATAAATGTCGCCAATGTGGAACAAATTTGAGATCTTACAAAAGTACTGAACTGATATCCCAAAAACAGGTACAGTATATGTAAGCAGTACATAAGGAAAGACTAGTTTTAATATGAAACAGTCATTGTCACATACAACAGAAAAGACATGTGGCCAGAAATGTAGAAATTGTTACACATGTACAGGTACTTATACTATCGAGCAAGGCTATATTTATATATAAAGTGGAAGGTACATGTATTTTTAAGCATGAAGTTGTATTGTTACTATTATATTGATAGAAAATGGGCAACATGTTGAATTTCAAGAGCACTTTTTAAAAAATCCCAGAACAAACAAAACAAAAAGTTACACATTTGAGAAAGAAAATTTTCCCATAGTTCTGAAATATAATCCCCCAAATAGCCAAAGTACCACGAAGGGCGCCGGATGGGGGAATTTCACCGGGCCTATTCATGGAGGCGTTTTGCCTCGTCCCAATCTGGGAGCGTTTGTGGCTCAGGTAAAATCATGCCGGAGGCACCACAACTGTGGTGAGGGGCCGAGGCTGCCTTGGGGTCATGTATGGAAGAAGACAACCAAGCAGGAAACCCCAGTGGCGGCAAACTCCACTCTTCTGGCTGGGGGAGGGCGATAGAATTGTCACATTCAATGGGACTTCCCTACGCAAGGCTTTATGTGGGGAATCCCGAGCCATTCTCCTTGGCACAGGCAGAGAAGAGAAGCCAGCCGGAGGCAACGCTGAGAGTCCCTCCACATTATCCTTCTCATTTCAACTTGTCCTAAATGGGAGCAACTAAAATGCCTGCAGGAACAGGGTGTATATTGTAGGGAGTATATCTGAAAGCACGTCCTCCTTGGCGAAAAGGAGTGCCATGACTGTGTGGCACTGTCCTGTGGCACCCCTCGGCCAAACGGGCAAACCGATGGACGCACGCCTGTGCCACAGAGGGACCAAGCGATACCAAGGTTGCTCCCCCAGTTGCTCAAGGCCCCCCGGGGTCTCCTTCCTTTGTGCCAGGCACACCTCGGCGCAACCCCAAACAAGGAGCCCTGCAGAAGACGACCATGAGCATCAAGGGAGGAGTTGGCCGTGGCTTCAAGAGCCAGCGGGGGGGGGGGACCATTCTCTAGACATCACTGTGCATGCCTCGTGCTTTTGGACTAGCACTAGCCCCTCCGACGAACGGAAACAGACAGGACGAGGGACCTCAGGAAATCAGGCCGAGGCCCAGGCGGCAAGCCCCGTTTTGCCGGCTTCCGTGGCCCAGTGGAGACACCTTGCAAAGCAGCAAGGCAGAAACACTGCAGGGGCCCTGCCAGCCTGCACAGGCAACAGGCTGACGGTCCCCCTGCTGCAGCTCCTTCTCTTTTCCCGGACACCCTCGCAAGCTCCAAAGGCCGTGCTGTCCTCAGGGCAAACCTCTGACCTCAGTGGGTCACAGTCGATGGAAACAGCCAGCAACCCTGCCTACCGCCCAGCCACGGCAGAAAATGCTCTGTGCCACAAAGAGTGATCCCCAGGAGCAGCCACATCCACATGAGGTGGAACCGCAGGGCTCTCCTTTCAGCCGAGGTCCCTAGTCTTACGCAACTGATCTGCCGGAGAAGGAAATCCCCAAAGACAGCCACGAAAGGCTGAGCATGGGCTTCCCTTCCCAGGAGAGAGTCACAAAACTCTTCCAATCTGCTTTCAGAATGAGAGGGAAAACACTCGGCTTCGGTTTCAGGCCCCCGGCCTCCGTGCGCTCCTCCGAGCGCTGGGAACTCACCGGGTTGTTCTTCTAGAGAAAACATGGAAGACGGGCAGGGCCTTGGAAAGCCCACGCCAGAAATAGCTTCAAGGGGGGGGGTGTCTCTCTTAGACACGCTAAACATGAGCACTCTGGTTCTGAACTAAATATCAACATAGACTAGGTGTGCCTGGTCCAGCTGACGTGGCTGATGGCCGTCTTAAGATAAGTATTGCTTGATTTTTCTTCTTAGGTCCCCTCTTCTGTCTTTAGAACTTAAGAAAAGCTCCAGAGGAGAGGACAGACCAAACTCCCGATCAGAGAGTGGCCAAGACTGAACATGTACAGCCGCCGCTCTGGATTATCCCATCCCATACTGCTATCAGGTGCATAGCCACCGGCTGCTCTCCCCACAAAAATGGGGGGGGGGGTTGCCTCTTCAAAACATATCCAATTACTTTCCATGGGTGTAAAAGCACACTTCCGGTTAATCATCCATCAAGCATTTCCCAGAGGTTCTTCTGATGAAAAACGTAATGCACTTGGGCAGAGAAGAGAGACTGGAGAGCGACTGACCAAGATCAAGCCAACAGAAACAACCCTCCAAGGAACAGGGTGTTTACCCAGAGTGGGCAGACCCACAACAGCCGGTCTCTGGAGCCGCACCCCGGGGATCCCAGAGGAGTCCGGCATCTCATGCGTCCGCATTCAACACAGGAGGCCCCACCGTTTCCCTCGTGCGCATGAGCTGAACATCCTTGTCGGCCATGCAAGTGTCGCAGCCCCACACGGCCGAGGCCTCCGCGGTGAGCAAGCCGTAGGCGGACTCCGTCATGCCCGTGCAGATGCGATGGAACCACTTTTGGCAGGAAGCTTCACAGAGGATGGCGTCCTGGTCATCGTTCACCTCGTGCGTACAAATCCCACAGGGATAGACAGGCTCGGAGGACGGGTGTCCGTGCTGGCTGGGATGGAGGGGCATTTTGCTGCCCTTCTCGGCGGCGCCCCCTTCGGCTGACCCTCCGCGGGCCAGGCGGGGCTTGCCGGGTGTCCCGTTGGCGTGGGTGCTGTTCAGATTATCAACGTTTTTAGGCGGGACACTTTCCTGGCTGGCTGAGACGCTTCGGTTCCCCGTTTTCACGTCGGCGTTTCCTGAGCTCACCACGTCCTCTGTGCCGTGTGAGGGGTGATGCTGTGGGGTGTTGCTGTGCTTGTTTGCACCGGGCTTTGGGGGAGGCTTGGACTGGCCGTAATGGTTCGGCAGGGGAGCGTAGGAGGGATTTGATTCCATCGGGGAGTTGTTAAAAGGCGGGTTGTTCCCAGGCCCGAAATGGACTGGCATCTCATGGTGGGACATCTGGGTGGTATTCTGTGAAGGCATGTGGCCAAAGTTCTCCCCGGGGCTGGGTCTGAAGTGGGGCTGCCCGGGCAAGCTGAGATTTTGATTCATGTTGGCATTATAGGATGGCTGGTTTCCAAAACCCACCGTTTCATGCGGCCCAAAGTTAATGGCTTGTGGCCGATTGAAGACCAGGCCCACCGGGTTCTGAGGAAAGGGGTGTGGCTGGTTTCTGAGCGGGTAAGTGGCGCCGTACGGCGAGGACATCCTGGGGAGCATGTGGGGTGGCATTCTGAAGGTAGGGTAGCCCCCTCCAAAGCCCGGGTAGCTGGAATTAGCAAAATAAGGGTTTCCTGACGGCAACGGCGGCTTGTAAGAAATGGAGTTGTAGTTATCGTCAAACGGATTCGCGGCTATAAGGTGATCAGCGCTGGGATTCGGCGGCGGGGCATATTCTGAGGGTGGAGGGAAAGAGGGTCCCTGGAAGCAAAGACAGAGAAAGAGGAGCCCGCCTTACTTTAGACCTGAACCAGGAAACACGAGGAAGAGGGTCGTGGGCGCCTCGTCTCGCCTGGCAGAGGAGTCCCGAAGGGCCCCCATCTCGCTCCAAAGGGGTCGGGGGGTGGGGGTGGGCCTCACGACCCCTCGGGAGACGCTGCCCGGGTCCCAGAGCCGCCGCATCAACCTCCCCTGGCCCTTCGCCTGGGAGAACGTTTTTCTGCCAGGGCAGCAAGGACCGAGGCGTGTAAGGTGCATATGGGGGGGGGCCCTCCTGGGTTTGGACTGGGGCCACCAGGAAGCCGGCCTCGAGTGGCTTACCTGCGCGCTGGACTTGCGCTTCTTCTTGTCTGGGCTTCCGAGCTGCACTCCTGGCCCTCCTAAGCCGTCCAGTCCGCCGTCCCCACCTGGAAGATTGCAAAGTGGGCAACTCTGTATTTAATGCCGGCAAAGACGTGACCTCACGGGCGAAGCGCCAAGCCGTGTGTCTCTGGCAGTTTTGGCACACCAAAGGTCGGGTCACGGTCCTCCATCCCAGCCGGTGTGGGCACCCGCTGTCCTCTTCCACAGCCGGCCCAGTAAGTCCAGTTGTTCAGTGCTGCAGCCAAGGGACATCCGCGCACCCCTGGAAACGCTGGCA